CCAGGTCCAGCTCCCTGTGGCAGTGAGTGGGGACTGCCCACATCTCCAAATCAATTCAGAGGCTTCCAAATTGATTCAGAGGCTTCTGACTAGATTTGGACCTTTTAACGGGTCTCCCAATTCAATTCAGATTTGGAGATCCAGCCCCCAAATCAAGCCGAATCTCCTCCGAATTGAATCAGCTACCAAAGCATTGCACAGCCCTACCAATAAGCATATGGCAATAAAATAAGTGGGCTAGAAACCCTGTATTAACATAATGGGATGCATTTTGGACTCTGTTGGACTCATGGGTTCAGTGGGAATTTTGTCTGAGTAAGGACTACACGTTTTGTCCTCTTATACAGGAAAGAAGAGCATCTGCAGTTAGCACAGAAAACAATTACTGCACTATATATTACAACCTTCTCTCCTACTCTCCCACTCCTTGTAGCTAAATATACAGATGCCTCTCTTCCATACTGCTTATTAGCTATAAATATCCATTTGCTCTCCTCTGCCCTGGTTGTACCTTAACAGGCAAGTATGAGAGACAGGGCCTTAATTTAAATATACTTTCTCTTTTTGTGTAGTTTGTTGTCTTCTGAGCTACAAGGGCTTCTACATATCTTCCCATGTGCTAGGGAAAGTAGGTAATATAAAACCTATTACCATATCTTACCCTGTATATATGTAGTTGTGACCTGGTGTTGGACTTTCTTCCAGTGGAAATTCTGTAGCTGGTTTTGTTGAAATGCAGAAGTCCATTCCACTATGAACCACAGGACTGACCTCTCCCTGGGTCCAGGAGGCTTCCATTTAACAGTGATCCCACTTTGATTCTCATATTTAATCTGCATGTTGGTAGGGGATGGGAAGGCTACAAACAAAGGAAAGAGATGGTTTGACCTTAATCCTTCAACAACTGGAAGACTTTAAAAGGTCCCTTCCATACTAAGAAGCTGCCTGTGCTCTGCACCAGTTTATGAACTGAGCCTGAGCATACAGAGAGACATTTCAGATCTGGAGTATTTGTGTACTTTGTTATGCCTCTTCTGTCTAAAAATGGTATCTGTTACTTTTACAAGAAACAGCTACAATTCTTATAACTGTAGAAGACCAAGGACAAATGTTGTTTTTCCACTTTATTTACTTTGTGCAGTTTCTGTTTAGTCATTTTTACTACCAGCCCTTCCCTTCCTGTTTGTGTGGGACTTTCCCTGGGTTCTGAGTGAAAGAAAATATTTTAGAAAATAGAAAAAAGTGGTTGTAGAAAACCACAGCCTTTGACGTGAGGGGTCAGATGCAGGTGTAAATCCTGACACTACCTTTTATTCCTTTCTTTTTTTAATTGGCTGGATTTTACAGTGAAACTCTCCCTTTATTGGAAAAGGAAAGGGCTATTTTCACAAGGGCTTTGAGCACAAATACAAAATGCCCATGTTCTGAGAATGACTAAGTAGCACAGCTACATCAGCTCATGCTAGTTAGTGCTGTCAAAGTAAAGCTTATTTTTTAAACCTGTTGTTGAAACTTTCAGAAACAACCACTTAAAATATGTGGCTGCACACAGTCCTGAATCTTCTAGAGAGCTCACTTTGGGTGCTTATATAAGTTACATTTTTTGTGTGATCAGGCCCCTGAAAGCATTCCACAGCTGTGATTTAACACACCTACATGGCTGCAGAGCACTTTTTAAATGGCTAATTGCATAGAAAATTAACGCTGGTTAAATGAGGTATTACCTGAAGGCACTTTAAAGTAGAGCACCTTAGGGAACTTGTGTTCCCTCCAGGGTTAATTTTTCCCATTTTGCAAGACTATCAGTGGAAAAGGGGAGGGAGAAGCCAGCACATAGCTGCCAGCTGCTTTGAATGACCAGAGCTGGGGGCAGGGTGGAATGGAACCCCCTTGCCACCCCATCCCACCCCCCAGCCACCCCATCTGCAGTATTGGGGGGGAGCTGGGCCAAGCCCAAGAGGTGAGGGTGGGGCTCCCTTCCTCCCTTCCCTGCCCCCAGCCAGGCCTCTTTGGAGGCTGCTGGAGCAGCCCCACCTGCTGGCTAGGGCTGGCACAGGCAAGCTACTACACCCTCTCCCCCAACACAAACATCTCTTGGGTTGGAAGGGTGGGCCCTAACTCATGGCACTTTCTGTAAAGTGCCATGAGTTAGAGCAGGTCCCAAACTTCTGTAGGCACCCTTTATAAAAAGAAGTGATGGAAGCAGAATTTCACAAAGGTATTTTCCTGCTTTGGAGAGATCTGGAGAAGATGTTTTCAGTGAAAGCTACAGATGCTAAATTGATAATCTTACCTTGATAATCAGTAGTGATATTGGCTGGTTTTGAACTCCCCTTTGAATTGTATGCCGTCACATGGAGAGTATGCACCTCAGCAGATACCAGGACTTTGCATTTGGTTTCTGTTGTGTTACATAAGTTAAACCTTTCTCCCTGGTGCTTGTAGTACACTGTGTATCCCAGAATTCGTCCTCTGGCATCTTTTGGAACAAGAGGCTAAAAACAATGAAAGTAAATGCTCTTACAGAAGTAGGATGTGATTGCTGCTGGGGGGGATTACTTTCTTCATTTCAATGAATCACATTCACAGAATTCCTAGGGAAATTGTGATGGAGCCAACAGAATTATTAATTGAGAAATGTCTGAAAAGTCACCTACTTGGCCTGAAGAATGTCCCTGAATAATTTCTCTGAAAGAATAGACACAGACAAATTTTTCCTTAACATTAAGCAAATCTCTCCTCATCTACAACCTCATTCTTTCCTTAAATAAACTTAATCTTGTAGAATACAGAGCACATGCAGCACATCTTCTGCTTTCTAGACCTACCCAGATAAAATCTCTGTGTGCCTTATTCTCAGACACTCTAATGTCAGGTGACTTATGAAGGAAAATGGCATTACCTTTATCAAGACTGTCACTTCTCTGCTCCCATTTGCATATACTGGACCCACTAGTCTCCACACATCCACAGGTACATTAGCAGGGGCTGCATTCAAAGTACATTAATGGAATACAAGATTTTGCCATCAGTATTTGAATTAACAAAGCACAGATACGGTTTGCTACATGACTTTATTCAGCTTCATAATGACAACTGCCCCCTTGGGGGAGTTCTCAGGACAGTGTATCATAGCAACTGTGCATTTCTAATAAGTAAGTACAACTGAGCAGGGTTAGTGTAATTTCTTAAGACAGCAAGGAAGAAATTACCTGGCACCAGAGACCTGTTGCCATAAAGGTTTGCCACAGTGTCAAAGGAAACAACTCTTGTATTTTACTGACTATTCTGTTACTAATTTTATAATCCTTTCATAAGCCAAATCTGTAGGTCACTGGCTCTCCTTCACAGGCTGGCAGTTACAGTAAGCCTATGCTGTCTAGATTTAGTTGGGACAAGGTCATGAATCAAGAAATTTTTGACCAAAGTCTCCTGCTATACAGTGCTCCCTACCACAAGAAACTTTGCACCCAAGCACACTTTAAACTATAAAGCTCAGGTACTAGAAACAGTGTCACCATGGCAACACCAAACTCAGGATGGGCTAACCACCTGAGTATAGACCCCAGCCATAGGCAGGGTTTACCACCTGTGCATAGGCTTATGCTGCTGCATCTACACCTATCACTGGTCCCTGAGTTAATAAGTTTGGTCACCTTTGCTCTTGATTTTAATGGGTGTTTGCACATGCCAAGTTTTTTGCCCTTTCTTGCTGCAATGGCGTGACTGTTTGCATGCGCAGGTTTTCCAGATGCTTTAAAAGTCTTTCTGGTGCATTAAAGTAAAACTCCTTTTATGTAGTTTAGTTTGGCTCGCTGGAAATGAAAGCGTGGCATCCCTGGATTCATCGCATGCAAACACAAAGGCACTCAAAGTTATGTAGTGAGCTTCTTTGTCCACTAGATGGTGCTAGGACTTTTTTGTAGTTCACCCCTTTGAATTGCTGCTGCTTTTGAATTGCTTCCATTTTTTTTTCTTCTTATACCATGTGCGAGCTTACTGCTCCCACAACTGCATGGTAGGGCACGGGGTGGGGAGTCCCAGGCTGGGAAAGGAACAGCATGGGACCGTCCTGCTCTCTTGAGGTGCTGGCTGAGGTGCTGGCTGAGGACCAGGCTTAATTTGTTTGAAAACCTAGTATGTGCAAACACTGATGTGATACTCCAAAATAAGTTTAAATTTTATACACCTATTTAATTTAATGAAGATTAAACCCTGTGATGTGTACAGGCACCATATGTTCCCAGTTTCCCCCATCTCTCAATGACTGTCTTCAAGGCATAACACAAATCCTATCTATAACTGATTGTTTGGAGTTGGGTATTTTCACACGTTTTAACTCCCTTCTCTTTCCTTCCCAAGTTTGCCAGGAGAATCATTGGGATTTTCTCCGAACTACATTTGTGTGCCTAAAGAGTGGCTTTTCACCACATAGCTTGAGGTCTGATTTTGTGTGTGCCACCTAGAAGGTCTGGGCTAGGCCCTCTGTCAGTGAATTAAATGAAATAAGCATGTGCACAAAGTGGTGGAATGGGGTATAGCTCATCTGCAATATGCATTTTAATTTTGGGGGAAGAGGGAGCTTCATATTAATGTCTTTCAATTCTCCTCTATGCCTTTATTCTCTGGAGGAAAGAGTCCCCATAAACTCCAGGTACATAACACAATATTTCACATCTCTTGCTTAGAATGAACCTAGGGTCTATAAAGATCCAGATTTCTTTGAGTTCTTCTTAAGTTGCATCTCTGCTTTAGTTATATCAAGCATCTAATAAAGTTCTTGATGAAAAAAATAAGTCTGTGCCTGTATAATTGAAACAGAGTATCTAATACCAGTGATTCAGACTAAGCAGCCATCAGTAGGTTAGTAGGTGAAATACTGCACTGAAAACGATTCCAAGATATCCATTGATTTCAGCAGTATCAGGCTTTCACCCAGTGTCCGGCACCTCCCAAACTATGGATTTTATTTGATAGCTACAAAACTCTTTAAATTAGAGAGTCAATCTACTGTTTGGGGCTGAAATCAGGACAGTTCTGAGAAGAATGAGAAGTCTGTTCTGATAATGGCCAGTAACAAATCTCTTCTATGATGTGATGATCAATCAACTGGCAACTTCCTGGCCATGGATGTTATAATCTGAATCTGCCAGCAGAGGTGTCCAACAGAGCTCAAGATTTAGATCAGTTCTTGCTATGATATGCTAAAAGTACTAGTCCCTCGTCAGTTTGTGGGTTTATATGGGTTGATTATTGATTGATCTCTTTTTTAAACGTAAGAAGAATAGAACACTTAATGTACAGGGTCCATGATTTAGTGAGACTTGGAAAAAAATCCAACTTGGCTGGCTTTATAATAGCATTGTGAATAGCATATCTGCACAAGTTTCGTGAATTATACCTTCTACCTTTCATCTGGAAAGCATTTTGCAAGCACTGACTAGATTAACTGCATGTATAAGATGACTTGCATGTACAAGTGTTTGCAGAATTGCAGATTTCACTTGTGTCTTATCCAGAGGCATGTGTCACTCTGAATAACAGCACAGTTCATAAATGGCTGTTCCACAGTCCAAGAGTGCACAAGAGTCTGGGGAAATTGATTGTGATTAAATATGTGCTATTAATATGCCCAGAAATAGCCTGGTACTTCTAAACATGAGGCAAACTAACCATATAAATGAACTGTTCCCTTTCTTGAAACCATGAATTCTGCTGGGGTTTATATTTCTTCTCAGGAGCTAAGTACTAATGGTAGGTTTAAAAACTATATCCAGCAATGAAAGGCCTGATCTAAAGCTAAGCTTAGTCAGTGGAAAGGCTTCTGTTTGTTGTGCTCTGAATTGGTCTTTAGATGGTGCTGCTGTATCATGCCTAGAAATGCTACTCCCAGGATTCTAAGATTTAAGGGTATTTGGGCAGGGATGAGGGCCAACTGCTAATGCTCCTCCATGACTAAAGGGGGAGTCAATGCTGTACTCGCTGATTTTAAAGATAAAACTCCAGATCATACTATATATTGTAGAACAAAGTGGATTTTAGTGCTACTGTTCTGCATTCTTATCAGTGTGAAGATTTTTGCAGTGACGGGCAGCATTGCATCTTACCAATATGTGAACTGGGACAGAGTGGTTTCAAGGGTTTGTCTGAGCCATGAACATAGTCCTGAAACCATGACTGAAGCTGCCATGCTTGAACTGCTGGATAGGCTGCCTCTATTGACTTTGTGTATGATTGGACACAGTTTGTACAAAGAACAAACATGAATGTCTCAGACGGCATCTCTTGTTTACATGTACAATTTGAAATGGCACACATTAAAAAGGAGGCCACACCTCAGCCTGCCTTAAAAGTTATGCTGCTACTCTCCTGGTTTATGCTCTGAGGTACAAGGGGGGATGAAAGTACAAGACAATGTAAAGAACATTTTCAGCCCCCCTTCAGCACATCCTTCGGCACACAGCCTTCGTACCTAGTGACTACGTGCAGCAGCACCCAGTCCAACTGCTGCTCTCACTTCTTGCACTATGGCCTCAAGCAACATAGTCTATTGGCTACGTCTAGGTAAGACCAAGCTGGTTAGCCCCCCTATGAGCCAATGGCAAGCACTAGTCAGAGAATCTGTTTACTGCTCCCTCCTGGGTCAGCAGTGCGTTATAGCTGAGGGATTCTACATGTTTCAGTGGTGAAATGGCTGGAAGCCTTTACCTTTTCTACTGTCTTTAGGAACTGCCCTAAACAAGGGTGTGATCTTACTTCTGAGACTTAAAACTAAATGAGTGCTGTATAACAGTGGGAGGTCAAGAAATACTCCTTGGAAGCCTAAGTGTAAACTCACTTGCTTCTGGGGTTAGATAAATAAAGGGCACACTCCACGCACTCCAGTTGCTTCTGGCACGAATTATTCGGCATCTAACTTGAAATTCATACTCCGTATTTGGCTCCAGTGTATACTCTGTGCATGGCTTGGTCTTTGCATGCATGTCCCATTCTCTAATCTGAAATTGAAAAACAGCCAGAAACTTTGCTAAGTTGCAATAACTAGCCTCATGCATGCAACAGGCTAGAACATGCCACTAACAATGTTACAGCAACCCCTGCACAAGTGACTTAGCCCAGAGCAGTGGCAGGAAAGTCTGGCCCACAGGCCAGATCTGACCAGCACTGGACTGCATTTCCCAGCAGCCCCTGCCTGTGTGGCTGGGGTCGGTTTCCATGGAGACCCCAGCAGCAGCCATGCTGTGATAGCTGGGGCTGGGGTTTCCATGGAGACCAGGCCCAGCAGTGCAGCAGCAGCACCAGTCTCTTCCCAGTGGAAGGGCTGAAGAGGGAGCTGTGTTGTGGGCAGCAGCGGGGTGGGCTCAGCTGCTGCTGCCTGTGTAGGACAGGCAGCAGCAGCAGTGGTGACCCTGCTGGGAGAGGTGGCTATGGGGGTCTATGGAGAGTTTTGGGGTGGCTATAGCCCCCCCCACCCCTCCCTAGCCCCATCCCTGCTGACAGGGCATGCAGCAGGGTAGGGAGCTGCTCTGGAGCCTGGCTGGGATCTCATGGCATGGTCCAGAACCAGGACATGCAGGCTGCAGATCGGGGCTCTGCCCTGGGTCTAGACCATACTGTCACCGCCGCAAGATCCCAGCCAGGCTCCAGAGCAGCTCTGCATCCTGCTGCGTGCCCTGCCAGTGCTGCTGGGGCCAGTTTCCCCAGAAACCCTGGCTTTGCACTATCACTGCTGGGGTCTCCATAGCAACTGGCCCCAGGTATGCAGGCAGGGGCTGCTGGGAAACAGAGTCCGGCTGCCAACCAGATCCACCACTTTGCCCACCCCTGTCCTAATCTCTAATCTAAATTTCCTCTGCTGAAGCTTGAGGAAAGCCCACCAGAGAAAAGCTCATCACTGTCCTCTCTGTAATTGCCCTTTAGATATTTGGCCAGTTCCACTGCACAGGCTCAGCTCAGCGTCCCCAAGAGGCCAGCAGGGGCTCCCTGCCCCTTCTTCCCTCCCCCTGCTCCCTGTGTGAGCATCCTGACAGCAGCAGCTGTGGCTGCTGTGTCTGGAGCTTGATGAGGAAGGCCCCCCTGCCTCACAAGCCTGGCCCGGCTACCCCTGCTGGGGTCTTGGGAGGAGCAAGGCCAGGCCTGGATGGTGCGGGGGCTCCCTCCCCTCCCCCCCCAAGTATCTTAACAGGAGCTGGGGCGGGGTGCGGTAGAAATGGAGACCCCCCCACCTCACAGGCCCAGCCCAGCTTCCCCCAAGACCCCAGCTGGGTTAGTTAGACCACAAGGTGCGGGGGGGGGGGGGGC